AACGCCCCCACGGCTGAAAGGGCGAGAATGTTTGGTGTGACGAGAATTCGAACTCGCGACCCACAGATTGCGAGTCGAGCGCCCCCTAACCTCCTGGCCATGCAGGAAAATGAATCCCGGAATTAAAAGTTGTAAGTTCGTAAATTTACTGCTGACCCACCTGCGGACCACAAGAAGTAAACATTAAAGTTTGTTTAACTATAATGGAATTAAAAATATAACCGATATTTTAAGTTCAAGAAAAATTAACGTACATAAATTTAAAAACTTTATATAGCTTCTAATCTTCATCAGATTTTATCTATGTTTTCTATATGGAAGTTAACATAAAAGTTTTTTTTATTGATACCTCCGTGTTTAAGAATTCATGATGTCATTCCTGTAAACCCAAAGACACTATTACAAAAAGTTTTATTGCTCTGAAGCATGTATTTAATTACTGATTTTTATTTTATCTTTTCCTGCTTTTCAATATTTATCTAACTTCGATCAACCGGAACTTATGTGACACAGAGGTAAAGAAACCGAGAAATGCCTCTCAGATAAAGCTAGCCGATGTTCAAGAAGTACACGCAAAGGATTAAAGTGGGCGTGAAAAGTTTCGTAACGTGACACTCGCTGATGTACAAGCCAATTTAGGAAACATGGCAAGGAGTGAGTTGCTTACTCAGATGCTTCTAGTCAGTGTTCTCCTTTTTCTCAAAAATACCCGTTCCGATCAAATACAACCGAGTTTATTTTCATTAGTTACATTTCAAATATTACAGAGTAAACTTCCTATGGAACTATTTACTCTCGTTACAAAATTTCTTACGACAACAAATTAGCGTTTAAAGCTGAAGAACAAATAACTGAGTTTTGAAAGAATGGAATATATATACATAAAAATGAATTCATATTTGCAGTCGGTTGTAATATCAAATATTTTAAGTATAAATACATCTTAAACTACAGATTGGTCCCAAAAGATTGCAAATAATGTTTCAAGAGAAAAAGTAATTTCCTGGGTTTTCTCATCAATTATCTTTACTTATTAATATGCAGATAGAACTTAATGAAACTAACGGATGGTTCATACCAAAAAACCAACTGAAATATTTAAGAGTTTTAGCTTACGTCACCATGAAAAAACTATTTAGCGTAAGTGCTCATTTTGTGGAGTTTATAACGCTAAAAATTTGGGCTAGATATCCGTGGTGGGAACAGCGCAGATAGGCCATTGTATAGCTTTATGCTTTAAAAACACAAAGCACGTTATATGAACAAGATAAATAAAAAATTGGGAATTTAAAAATCTGCAAATAGGGATCGTAAAAGAAGTAAGGAAACAAGGTTGGGGATGTTGTAGACATTATTTAC